TAGAGATACCTATACTAAATATTACGATCATTATATGAATTTTTAGAATTAATATTTCGTTTAACTAAGGTAGATTCGCATAGAGATATGTGATTGAATTAGGAACTTGAGAAAGGTAAATTGAATACAATAGAAGAATTCGATTGAACACTACATTAGACTCTTGAGTTTTGAATTAAGATTTAAAGGTGATCAATATGTGAAATTGTTCGGCCTTAATATCCATCCATTATTTGAATTCTCAATCAATCTTTGTATGCATTTTAATTAATTTCATGTTTTTAAACAAAAAATTCACAACATATAATTCTTTGTTTGCTTTCATCAATTAGGAGTTAAAAAAATTTGATTAAGTTCTAAAGTATAGTTCTCGTAGGAACAATAATCTAGACTCAAGTGTCCACTATAGTACTTGTTATGATATCGTACATTTGCGATAGAAAAAACGCAACAATAGGACATCGAATTTCAAATACTTTTGCATGGTTAATCAATCGACTCATAAATGTTATGAAATTAATCATATCAATGTCTTACTACACTAGTTCAACCATCTCCAAACTATCCTAAAAGTGGTTTAAGAATGTATGTAATAGTGATCTTTTTTTGGTTTTAGTTACTAAGTTCCACTACTTTCAATATATTCCAACATATGAACCACAACACTTATTCATGATGCAAAAACACAAGTCTCGTGCGTAAGTTTTACCTAAATAAGTATTAATCAATCCCCAATTGTAATATTTCCACCATTCCTAGTTTAACACATAATTTCAATATATACATCGTTATTGACAAGGCCATTTAACACACAACAAGCATGAAAAAACAATCAAAACACATAAAATTGACGATAATATCCCCCAAACTTAAAATGTGTATAGCTCTCAATATACAAAAATATAGCACTAAGTATCCAAAGAAAGGGACAAAGAGGGAAAGCTAAAGACTTCCTTGGTTAAGCCGAATGTGGGGCTAAAATGGCATATAAGTGCAAGAGTTAGATGATCCGCTTGATCGTGTCATCCCCTTGGCCAATGTTGGTTTGAGTATTCTTCAATATCACGTTTTAGTAAAAATGAATAGGACTCTAACATTAGTAACCAAAAAAATATAGAATAGTCAATTAATACTAAGCCCAAAACATTTCATAACTAACAAAAAAATTTCCAGGGACGAAGGGAAAACGGAACATGGGACGTAGGTAGGTTACGATTTTATGAAGTTGCAGCTGCAAAGTTACTGTTCACATTTTTTTATATAGATGATGACACTTGAATAAAAATAAACTCCATATCCTATATTTAGAAAGCGTAATGAATAAAAAGATAAAAGATTGAGTTGCCCCCCAATAAGCGTTTGTTTATAGCTATTAGCTTGATTTTGTTACATTGGCTATTCAAGGTGGTTTGAAAAGGGAATTTTTATCCTTGCAATGTGATAAGTAAATTTTATACACTTATTTAGGGCTTAAACTAGCGATATTTAGTTGTTCTTTTGATTAAATATGTCCTAAATTGTTGTATTTTATGTTAAATAGGTAAAACTCAATGGGTGAACAAGAAATTGGAAAAAACAAAGGGAAAATCTTGAAGAAATCCAGAAGATGGGGACATAGTTGCAACAATCCAATAGTTGAATTTGACCATGAATCAAAGATTGAAGATGCTAGGGATTTAATTGAATGTACTTGAAAGCTGAGAGGACAAAAATATAGGCTAAAAAGAGGAAAAAGACGACACGAAGAAGTTCAGGGACCAAAATGTGAAAGAATTGAGAGGACAAACTCATATTTGTGAGTTTCAATTGTGAAATTGCAAGAAAATTATCAAGTAGAATTTATACCAAAAAATTGGTACAAGAATTGGGAAGATAATTCAAGAGATATCAATAAGATTTTGCCGATTCATCTATGTTGATTCTTCAAACTGATTCACATGTTCCTCTTGTACACCTTTAGATTCATGTAGTTCCTCTTGTACACCTTTTGATTTACGTGTTGATGTTTCTTCCTAACTATTCAAAATAGCTATTAACAAATAAAGAATTGAGCATATTAAAATTCCTTCATAAGTTGTAATGACTTAGGATTTTGGCACGTTAATCTCATTGGCGACTAGGGGCATCTTTTCTTGGTATCTAATTGAAAGTATATTGTTAAGCGTTCCAGGTAAGTAAACCTCTCCTTGTATTTGTCATGACATATTCATACATGCCAATGTATTTATGAGTATACATGAAGTTTCAAGAAATAAAAAGTTTCCAAATGTTAACGAGTCAAGATATGTTTTTAAAGATATGTATCTTGAATGTTTTATCGAGGTGTATGTCTACGCCATGAAAGGTGTGAGTGGGAAATTGGGCGTCGGGGACCGACACACTCGACCAATGTTCAATGATAATGTTAATGTTAACCGCTGTAAGGTACTACTGGTAGGACTCGATCGGGTTCCAAATAATAATTACCTATTGCATTCTGATTGGCTAGGCTATACACCAAGTGAGCTTACGACGTCAATGTTAAGTTTTTAAAGGAATGAAAGTGGAAATAAATATTGAGAAATGCCTT